ATAGTATCTATGAGATTAGTACATGAAAAAAAGTTATCCCAGTCTGAAAGTTTATATATATATATATATATATATATATATATATGGTGAAGATAAAACGAATCTGAGAAGTTAATTTATTTAAGTGTAACATAAGATAATTTGTTATTATAGACTGCGTGTTTAGGAATAAAATATGTTTAGAAGGAATAGAATAGCTGAACAGAATATATTATGATATTAATAACAGTAATAATTATAAATACGAACATAAGTGGACTTCATATATTAAGATGGATAGAAATAAAAGACGTGAAAAGTCTCAAAAGTTGCACTTTGCTTTTCGGTCAATTAGATAGATGACGGACCTTGTTTGTATAAACCATTATTAAACACATTGATACTCAATAAATGATACAATCCACTTTCCGAAAGAAAATCATCAAGGAGACTTCTGAACCGGGTTGTAGTTTCACTGCAACTGAGGTTCACTGGCAGTCTGTTCCACATTGTTGAGTAGCAAACAAAGAAAAAATTCTGGTGTAAGTTTGTGTGGGTTCTTGAGATCGCTAGAATATTCCCCTTATTGCGGCCTTCGAATGCTCACTCTAGTTAGCGGATCTGGAACGCGTCAGCATAGCCAGTTTATTGGTCTTTGGTCACAAGTCTTTGTCCCGTTCGCAGTCTAAGTGTATCCGCAATCGCTTCAAACCTAGCAAATTCACTTTCTTTAGGTAAGTTGGTCATGCATAAATTCCTGTTTCGAAACCCACGTTGCTCAGAAGTTAACAGACTGTACGAATCTATCTGACTTATCCCAAACAATTTTTTCATGTAACTTAGCGACTATTGTAACGACCGAAATGCTAATATTCGGTTCAAACGCAGAACTATCGAACCAAAATTTATTGGATTAGACCAAACTACGTTCTTCTGTATAGCGTACAAATTGTTTTTAAGTTGCTCTTATTGAATTATATCAAAACCCAAACTCTGCCCAATGTAAACGGTTCTAATTTAGGAAACAGAACAAATTCTATCGAAAATACAAAGCACCTCAAATGATACAGACTGTGCTATATAGACAAGGGTTTCTATAACAGAAATTAGCATGCTAAACAATGAAAGAAACAGTTCAACACCTGAGAATCAGTAAAAATATTCTCAACAAGATGGGATCAAATATCTGTTTGCAGGTATTCCAGCAGTCTTTCCAAAGAGACACTCAGAAGTTAACAGCCAGACACTGGACCACGCCGCGACCTTGAGCTTAGTCGAACGCGAACTTATTGTCAATAATCAGACAACAGAAAAATTAGGTAACAAAATGTAAGTCTTCAATCAAAGTCACATAATAAATGCTCAAACGAGGAAGACTGAAGAACACAAACTGTGATTAAAAGAGATATGAATAAACGTTAAAATACACGGTAGGGAGAGGAAACAAATAAATGCCAGTACTGTCCAGCAAAATGATGTAGAGGGATTTTCAGCGTTTTCTTTCCATAACAGCTATGCTGATCATAATGACAGGTCGACAGTTAGATACAATCTGTCTCTGACGATCTTTAAATATAAGACTGACTATAGCATATTTTCAGTCTCTAGGGAGTTGAGCAAATGAAATGGACGTGTTAAAGAGCATCTCGAGTGGTCTTGAAATAATGTCCGCAAGAGATGGCAGAAGTCGTGGATGTAACCCATTATGGTTTGATGTCTTATACGGTTTGAGGTTAGTGATCAATCGAAGGACAATTTCCTCAGTCACATGTACAGATCCCACGGCTAGTATTTCAGCATGTTTAGGACAAGTATTTTTAGCAATACACGTAGAGTAGACTTCGCTAAAATATTTTGATAGCCTCAGCTTTTGCCAGGTCTCATTCAGCCAATAAATCTTAATTTTCGCGTAACAGTAATCGGGAAATACCATCACTACGTTACGTTCTCCGTTCAACATACGAAAATAATCAATTCGGACATGCACGGCTGTCGTATACCAACAGTCTTTCATGGTCTTTTAAAATTTATTCCGAAATTTTTGGTATTCACGCTTAGATGGTTCGTATTCTTTTGACAAGTATAAGTCGTGCAAGTGTTTCCTACGCTTCAACAGCCTCCGAGTTTCCTTACTAATCCACGGAGAGCGATATGATGGCTTTCGTCTTGACCATGGAATAATCGGTGACGTTGCGGACTCGAATGTAGCCTTAGGCGTATTCCATCGATCCATCCACGACGACCGACCAGTCAGTTGAGATAGCACAGTCTCTGGTTGGAGGAATATTAGCTCCGCAGATAGTGGGACAATGTGTAGCAGATACAAATTGTATACCATGTGTCCGAAACATCGGTGACATCCTTTCACTGGTGTGTTAGTACAAGATCTTGCAATGACGGATCATGTTCTTAGTCAATGTGTGTATGTTTCGTGATATATTGTACAAGTACAGACCGAATAATGGGTGACAGAAAGTGTTATAACGCTCAAACGATTATCTACACTAGATCCCTCCCTGTGTATATTCTACAGGACTTCAACACATTTCAAATCAAGAATACGTAATTAGCCTGATCACAAAATGAATATATTTTCACATCTAAAACTGACACAATCCACAACAATGAACAATCAGTAATAAATGTGTGTCACAATGATAAGGATAAGGGAATATATAACTTATCTAACACCTGTCAGACTGTCTACATGTCTGACTAAGCAAACAACCGATCATGCTCATTCCTGCCCTCACATCCAAAGGATGCTATCGAAACCCCTGCTTGAAGCTGTTTGTTGATATGCGGTGAGTTGAAGCTTCCAATGTTGAATCTACATTTTGCCTTACCATAAAAACATATATGTCTTAAGATAAAGTCGTCAGCAAGACAACACGGACTTCGGTATATCCCTCGTATAATCATTAACCCGTCTGCAGACTTAATTATACAAAATGCTACCTCACATGTACCACTAACATTGCATCTACGATATGATTGGTTGCATACAAAAATGATCTCTAACATATAAAATCAAGCCTTCTCCGTTGTGACTTGTAACTATCACTTCTAATCCAGATGTAGACTGAGGTGATCTAAGTTTCTGTAACAATAATTATATCAGGACTCAAATCATCCACCACCAAACTTAGTTCAGATATTTTGTTCCGAAGATTATGGGCGTTCGTGTACCACAAATTCAAGGTGTTTTGAGAATTGCTCGGTTTAACTGTCAGCTTTTGAGTTTTTAACTCTGTAAGGACATTCGTCCACTTGATTCGATCTTCAAACAGCCAACCCGGTTGGACGCGAATGCTTAAATGACGAGTTTTGCATGAGTTATACAATATTACGTCTCTTTCATCCGAATTCCCGAGAACCAACTTCAAGATCCTTCTTAGTTGGACCTCGGCTCCAACCCATTTACTGAGTCTGTAGAATTATGGTCTACTATGATATTAGCATTGCTCTAATAATAGACCTAATCCTAAAATTGTAGATTTATCGTGATGTAACTGCCTAATCTATAAGATCTTACGTGGAAGTTACATCATCGCCTACACCAATTCATTGCATTGTAACAATTACCAATACGTGATAGAGAACAAGCTTAGGCTAGAGATGGAACAATATATTTAATATGAATAAAAGACATAACGTAACATTTAGCAGGAGGGACCACGCCTGCATGGTCGAGCCATGCCATAAGATTAACTCGTATTAATTCAATTCACTGTTCCAGGCTTTCTTCATTGTTCGGTATTTCCCAGCGTTTAATGTTGAATGTCTATTTTCCAGTTTGTCTCGTGTTACGGCTCAATGCCACTACAAGTCTTATTACTTTCGTGATATGCGTTCCTGAAACGTTCCCAGGCTGTACATTTCTGATGGAAAATTCCACTAACTCCAGCTCACATGCATGCCATTTATCAGGATCATTGTCTTTCGACTCCTCCAGATTCATAACCATTAAACGAGAAACGGGTTTAACTTCGTTGAAAGTCGTGTTCACGACTTTCGATCGTGATGTTAGATTCTGTTTTTAACCGCTAGGAGCTTACCGTTAGTTTTTATTGCAACAGAGTTGTGGGAGTCGAGCGAATGACTCACAACAACGTATGATCAGGCCGAACTTTTAACATTTACGATAAGGTTAAATATTGTCTTGATTTGGGACTTTGACGGAGTAATTTGCAAGGCAGAATGTGGGTCCACCAAGGACTTTGCAATTAAACGGGTGCTGTTTTCGACTATCGCTCCTTCTCTTCTATGTTACGACACCATCTATTTCCCACCAACCGCAGCATCCACATTAGAACTACTCGGGACAATAATGGTTTCGTCTGGATCACTAGATGCTGCAGTAGCAACTTGGACACCAATATGTAATAGAATTTCGAACATTAGTTGTATCAGGATAGAAACACCTGTTGTGTGTTTTACATTCGTGTGTCTGGCACGTGCTGCAACAGAATTTACGACAATGATGCATTTAGTACATTTGTTACCGGAAAAGCCCTCATTAACTTTTTTGTTGACTAGCGCTATAAGTCTGATTGCCCCTTGGATGAGTAATGCAATTCTTGAACAACAAAATGTACGAGGCCAACTAGAGTTACGCTTTGAGCACCTTTTATAGACATAGGGATTTATGCAGGTACACGCCTTATGAAACAACTTCTTACATAAATGATGTTGCATTCCTCCTACCACAGGTAATAGGCAGCATAGCTGTCCACATTCGTGAGCAGAACCGAGCATCCTAAAAATTATTTAAAACTGGTAACACAAAAATGGACATGTGAAAAATTTGAAACCTTAACCGAATAAATCAAGTCAAAGTCGACCAAGTATGCTTTGGTGCAATAAATGCGCAAAAGCAAATAAGTACACACAAGTACAGTATCACTTTAACTGAAATAAACTCAATTAAAGTGGAAAGATTAATTTACGATAAAAAACGGTAAGTTTAACTCAATAAGGAATAATACCACTATCCTTTTTAAATAGCGTGCCGTACAGTCAAAAATTTATGTACTTATTTGAAATCATCGACAAACTATTGTTACTTAGTATGAAAATCTTTATTTCCCTTCACGCCCATTTGTAACCATAAATAATAAACTATTGATAATTAGTTCACTGGATCATTCGTTCGGTGTGTTGGTAGCCCCGCGAGTTTGATATTTGTTGGTTTCGTGAAGCATGCCATCTGGGGCACCTTTGTTTGTCCTTAGTAAGCACATTTTGCTATTCTAACTTTCACTAGACCGTACAGCTCGTGGAGAGCAGGGAAAATCTGTACAGTTAGCCAACATTGAAGCGGGAAAGACAGTTGCAGAAGTAATAAGAACGTGCTTAGGACCAAGGGCAATGTTGAAAATGCTTATGGATCCTATGGGGGGGATAGTAATGACTAATGATGGAAATGCAATATTGAGAGAGGTTTGGAAACACATGTCCGCTTATTTTTCAGATTACTGTCGAGCACCCTGCCGCTAAATCGATGATAGAAATCGCGCGGACTCAGGATGAGGAAGTCGGGGACGGTACTACCTCCGTAATTATCCTCAGTACGTTATTATTTTCCTTAATATTACATGTTCATAAGGTGGAGAAATGTTAGCAGTTGCTGCTCCCTGTTTGGAAAAACAGATACACGCTACAAAAATTATATCCTCATTTCGAAAAGGCCTTGATGACATGCTTGTATTACTTCATGAAAAATTGAGGTAATGTTAAGTACAAATTGTGTATTCTCAAGTGTTCCATGTGATGCATCAAATGAACGAGAGGTCCAAAAGATCATTCAAAGTTGTGTCGGGACAAAACTCATAAATCAGTGGTAATATCAATATTTAAATCACTCATAATCAGGTCCGACCTAGCTTGCAAGATTGCTTATGATGCCGTAAAAATCGTAACAGTGGAGACCGACGGCCGTAAAGAGATAGACATCAAACGGTACGCAAAAGTGGAAAAGGTAAGAAAAGTTTGAACCATATTAGTCTCAGATTCCTGGTGGGTCTGTTGAAGACTCGGTTGTTCTTGATGGCGTTATGTTTAATAAAGATGTTGTGCATCCTCGTATGTCAAGAAGAATAGAGAACCCCAGAATCTTGCTTATGGACTGTAATTTAGAGTATAAGAAGGGCGAAAGCCAAACAACAATGGAGTTATCAGATGATAAGGACTTCACGTAAGTTGTATTTGCATTATCTATTCATTTTTAGTCGTGCTCTAGAAATCGAAGAGTCCTTCATCAAGGAAATGTGTGACCAAATTATCCAATACAGTCCCAATGTTCTTATTACCGAAAAGGGAGTTAGTGACCTCGCTCAACACTATCTGAGCAAAGCCAACATATCTGTTATAAGGCGACTCAGAAAAACAGACAATCTGCGCATCGCAAGGGCATGCGGTGCTACTATTGTCAATAGACCAGAAGAAATCAAGGAGGAAGATATTGGCGTTCAAGCTGGTCTTTTTGAAGTAAAAACAATAGGAGACGAGTATTTCACATTCATAACAAAGTGCAAGGTGAGTCTTCCTAGAGATAAACGCTTATTTACAGAATCCCAAAGCTTGCACTATTCTACTCAGAGGTGCCAGCAAGGATGTACTCAATGAAGTCGAACGCAATTTGCAAGATGCCATGAATGTAGTTCGTAATGTTATGTTGGAGCAGCGATTAGTTCCTGGAGGTGGTGCCATTGAAATGGCCCTGGCTCAAGAATTAACTCAAAAATCAAAATCAGTTAATTCTGCCGTTCAGCAAATGGTTTACCTCGCAATGGCACAAGCCTTAGAAGTGATACCCAGGACGTTAGCTAAAAATTGTGGTGCAAATGTTCTTCGACTTATCACGGAGCTTCGTGCTCGTCATGCTACTGATCCTGCTAAGTATTGGACATTTGGTGTAAACGGAGTGTCTGGACGGATTGTCGATATGAAAGAACTGGATATTTGGGACCCCTTGACAGTCAAAGCCCAAACTCTTAAGACAGCAGTTGAGGTATGTTTACACTTAACTATTTGCTAATTTTTAGACGGCGATTTTGCTGCTGCGAATAGATGATGTTGTTTCTGGGGTAAAAAAACAATCAGGAGATAATACGCAAACGCCTCCAGCCACTGAATAAAGTTCCTGTCGCACCAAGTATTTCTTAACCTAAAATATATATCGATTCTACCTGCGTTTACTGTTACATTCGTAATTATTTCTTATTGTATGAAAACATTTTCTGAGCACTACTACATTTCGCTTGTTCCAATTCGTGTGCATCATGATTGCTTGGAAGGGATTAGACTGTGGAGAATTTATTACCCAGGGGTAGTCTACATTGCTACTAAGACATGTTTAGATTTACAGTTCATAGCAATAAATTCAAATGTACTAAACGGCTATCCCATCAGGTCAAGTAGGCTTATCTCACTGGTTAGTCTCAATTGCTAGGATTTCTCAGAAGTGTGACAAATCTTCAATCTTTAGAACTAGAGGTCGGCTAATATCAACCTCCAGTTACTTTGAACATGGTCTAGTCTTTTTTAAACAGCAATGCAACAAATAAATATTAACATTCTCATGGCTTCGTTTAGTGTAACTCATTGTGGTTAGGATAACGAGTGGTTGATTCCTCTCTGGTATTTCGTACCAATGTGTTTAATCCTAAAACATCAGTTATCTTCCTACCAAGATATATATATATAGAGAGAGAGAGTAGAGAATTAGCTATAATTTAACACGTTCTGTTTCTAGTTTTGTGTTTCCAAATTTGCCTTTTTTTCCTTTGTCTAACACTAACTCCTATCCATTAAAATGAACGCATATCTAGTCTAATTTTGTCGAGTTCACATCTTGATTCTCGGATTATTTTTCTGTATTACATCTTCATACTGTCTAAAATAACACTGCCATTAAGTCTTTATGGACCAAAATATTTTCTAAACAGCCCTGTTCTTGTGTCGTGGTAGTAACTACAAATACAGTACAATGTGTAGATTTGAGTTTGTTTATTAAGTAAATGCGATTTCATAATAGATCAGGCCGGTGCGTTTGACTAACGAATTATAATTCAGGTATGATACTTACTCTCCGTTATTTTATACCGTATACTTTTCTTATCCTTTTAGTCACCCTAGCATTTAAGCATATAATTGCTATTCAGAACATTATTAACCCTAGTGTGAACGATTCGAGTACGCGAAATGTTATTCCTGGTCTCCTGAAACCACGCTCCAAACTACACGTAGGAGCTTTCAACGTCCGAACACTGTGCCAAATAGGACAACAGGCTTCCTTAGCTAAGACTTTAGAATCTCGCTCCATCGATGTGTGCTGCGTCTCCGAAACGCGCACACAAGATCCTAGTAGTGTCATTCATTTGACCGCACCATGTCGAAGTAACGAACCAACTCGGTTTACGCTTCGTGTATCTGAAAGCCCTGATGCTGCTTCCCGTGGCCTCGCTGGCGTAGGTATAGCATTGAGTCCTAGGGCAGAACTAGCTCTCTTAGACTGGATCCCAGTAGACAGTCGTTTGTGTGCTGTCCGACTAAACGGAACAGTAAGGACTCGAAAAGATAGGGACACTCGTCGTTGCCTCTTCGTCGTCTCTGCCTACTCTCCCACTGACTGCAGCTCAGATGATGTAAAAGATGAGTTTTACAGAAAGCTCTCCGACCTTCTCCGAAAAGCTAGGCGTTCAGATGTAGTAATAGTGGCTGGGGACTTTAATGCTCAAGTAGGTAAACTAAGCGAAAAGGAAAGACACCTGGGTGGATCTTATGGTGTCGCGGTTCAAAGAACAGATAACGGCGACCGTCTGTTGCAGCTATGCTCAGATAACCGCCTGTTTCTTGCAAACACTAACTTTAAGCATAAGGAAAAACATCTTTTAACATGGAGACCCCCTAATTCGTCTCAACGCTGGACCCAAATAGATCACGTCGCTATCAGCCACCGATGGAGGGGCTCGATAGAAGACTGTCGCTCATTCTGGAGCACATGCTTAGACTCAGATCATGCTCTAGTGCGAGCGCGTATTTGTCTGCGTCTTACTGGACGTAGGAAACATGCTGCAAGGAAACCCCTTAGGGTTCTACTAAGTGATAGTCAAGCTAAGAGTATATTTCAGGAACATCTAGAAAAACAGTTAGACAGCCATGTAAGTGACGCCCACCCCGAGGCAGCGTGGAATGACATCCGAAAAGCTGTAGAAACAGCAGTGATGTCTGCAAGTACGGTAAACCATAAGGTTAGGGAGAAACACTGGATCTCAGCAGCATCTACCGCACTGATAGATGCTCGAAAACTCATTCCATCTGGCTGTGAACATAACGAAGAGCGGAGTCAGCTTAAGCGTAAGCTGACTAGAAGCCTACGCAAAGATCGTGAACAGTGGTGGGTAGCGAAAGCAAGAGAGATGGAAAAGGCAGCGGCAATAGGTAACAGCAGGCAACTGTTCAGACTTGTTAAGGAAACCGGTATTAGGAACCCAATTGTTAGCGAAACAATCTCAGAGAAAGATGGACATATTATTCATTCTCAATCCAGGAGATTGGACCGATGGGCAGAACACTTTGGGGATCAGTTCAACTGGCCTTCAGCCACACTTTGGTTTCCCACGATCTCCAGTCTACCTGAATGGCAAGTTAATGTAAATCCTCCGACTCTTTACGAAGTTGAAAAAGCTACAGGAAATCTGAAGAGTGGGAGAGCAGCAGGTCCTGACAAGTTTAACTCTGAGATTTTTAAGGATGGCGGTCCAGTATTAGCAGCGAGATTGACTGAGGTCTTAGGTAGAATCTGGGAACTGGACGTAATCCCATCTGACTGGTCTCAATCATTGATTGTACCAGTCTATAAGAAAGGACAAAAGTCCTCCTGTGACAATCACAGAGGAATTAGTTTGACTAATATAGTGTCTAAAATATTAGCTTCAATAATACTTCGACGTTTAACCAAAGCTCGTGAAGAGCAGACTAGAGAAAACCAGGCTGGTTTTCGACCTGGACGTGGTTGTATTGATCAAATATTCACATTACGTCATGTCCTAGAACATAGACACACATTCAGACGCCCCACAATGATAGTACTTCTCGACCTTAAGGCGGCATTTGACTCTGTTGATCGTGAGGTTCTATGGCAGTGTTTGTCACTGAAGGGAGTACCAAAGAAGTACATCAACCTTATAAATGCTCTCTACTCGAACACAACTGGTCGAGTGAGAGCTTATGGAGAACTGTCATCAGAATTGATTACCTCAAGTGGTGTTCGTTAGGGCTGTCCACTCTCTCCATTCTTGTTTAACTTTGTTGTTGACGTCCTTTTAGAGATGACACTTTCCTCATCTAAATTTCCAGGAGTTGAACTTCTACCGGGAAATCCACTTGTTGACTTAGAATATGCCGATGACATAGTTCTATTTAGTGAAGACGTTGACAAAATGCAGAGTCTGCTGACCACTCTAAGCAACAATGCAAGCATGTTCGGCACGCGATTTTCTCTCTTGAAATGCAAAATGTTGCTTCAGGATTGGGTTGCGTCGACACCCGAACTAGTGATAGGGAGTAAAGTAGTTGAGCGTGTCGACCGCTTCACTTATCTTGGAAGTCTCATCAGCCCTTGTGGTTTGGTGTGTGACGAAATCTCAGCACGGATACAGAAGGCTCGACTAGCTTTTGCCAACTTGCGTCATTTGTGGCGTAGGCGAGATATCCGTCTATCAACCAAAGGACGTGTTTACTGCGCAGCAGTTCGTTCCGTCCTACTTTATGGCAGTGAAACATGGCCAGTAAGAGTAGAGGATATTCGTAGGTTACTAGTATTTGACCATAGGTGTCTTCGAAACATCGCTCGTATATCCTGGGACCACCGAGTAAGTAATGCAGTTGTTATGAAACGGGTACTAGGTAAGGATGGCAAATCAATTGATGAAGTAGTGAAACTTAATCAGTTGAGATGGCTGGGACATGTGCTGCGCATGCCCGACCACCGACTGCCCCGACGTGCTATGTTTTATGGTGTAGGAGTAGGTTGGAAGAAAGCTAGGGGCGGCCAGACCAAAACATGGCACAAATCCAGGAAGTCACTGACAAGTGGACTGAGCCGTGTTGTTAGGTATAGACTACCTGGTTAGGGACCGCGAGACAATAGCAACCGATGGTTAGAAACCTTGAATGACATGGCTGAAAATCGTTTGCAATGGCGCAGGTGCATCCACTCTTTGTGTTCTCTGAAACTCTAATCTTCTGAATTCTTCATGTCCTTTATTTTCTTTCCCAATTTATTCCACTGGACTATACTCCTTTAATAACATCATCGAACCTTCATGTCCCCTATCTCTACTTATACTTTCAGTACCTCTACCACTATGGGATTTGAATCGATTACTGAATCTCTGTGCTAATGTGGTATGGCAACTCGAACTGATGTACGTACGTACAAAGTTCCACGTTGTTACTGACTGACTAACCCTCAATATTTCAGAATTATCCTGTAGGGGAAAATTTCAGATGTGGGAGGACTGTTATCAGTCAACAAGTTATTCACATCTTATGGCCTTGGTTCACATGTCGGGTTTGGAATCAGTTTTCCTACCTATAAATCTACATGACGTCTAAGTACCAAGCCTTTACAAATCTTTATACACAGGGTGAGACCTTACAACCATTTTTCTCGATTGATCCGACCTGACAGTGAGGTAAGGCACTGTTGCGCAATCTCAATACCTCTCCATCTTTGCCTCCAACGGCATTACGAAACTGTCTTCACAGGAAGGACGTGGTGTTTTTTAGCTCTTTTTAGAGAAAGGCTTCCCAATCTTGAGTATTCAGATCAGGTTGTCTTACTGTAGAATGATGCACGGTCTATTCAAATCATACTTGTTTATTCTATGATCAGTGTCCATAAGTATGACTTGTACACTACGCTTAAGAGCAAGTTTGTCAATAGCTCATGTTGATACTCACTCTTTGTTGTGGTCCGTATTCGATAAGTTCATGTATCTAGCTCATTACGCGAACCCTGCGATTTCTGGTCTCGTAATGTTAGTCTTGCTGTTAAAAATTGATTTTACGTGTTCGTAAAAGCAGTTCTACTCGGTGGTTGTAAAATATAACTTCTCTGAGCCGAGGATGCTCGATGACTTTCCGATCATCGTTGTCTCTAAAGGACATTCACATCTATCGGTAACACCGTGTTAGTATACTGACACTATAGTGTTGGTGTTCTGCAGTGTTTATCTCGGTGATGAATATACAATTAGTATTTTGGGCACCCGGGCAGTATCACAGCCCTCACACAAATCAATTGAGATTTGTGTGGCGCATATGTATTTGGTGCCTCCCTGTACCTATACTTATGTGTTAAAATAATAATAATAATTGATCTTAAAGCATTTTCTGTGTCTTAAACATGTTTTCTTACCGCACTATAAGTTATTTGCTGACTCTTAGACTAAGTGGGAAAAGGGTAGTCTGTGATATGATAAGCATTGTCTGAGTTGGTTGGAGTGTAAATGACATGTATGAGTGATTGTTTTACAATTGTTTTGTGACACGTAGTCACATCCTGAACAAGTAATTATGTGACTCGATCAGTTAGTTAGATCTGTTGGTTATAGACACTTGATTGTATGATATATATATATATAGTTAAACATCCTATACAATATATATTTAAATAGTAGATATTCTAATTCTGTTGTTTTTAATATTAAGGATTTTAAATAATTATTAGTTGGCGTGCGTTCATCCAGTCAGTCAGCTACAACATAGAACCAGGCACATATATGCATCGGTCCAAGTTGTCACACCTCATTAGCACAAAATGATGAACACCAAATTTATGATAGTAATATGTACAAGGAAGATTGTGTACAAGGATATAGTACAAGAAGAAA